AGAGGGGGCCCGCTGCCGGCCTCGCCTGGGGCCTCTTGGGGCCTCCCGGGGGCCCCTTCTGGGCGGAAGGCTCGAATCGGTGGCTCGTGCTCCCCCTCCCCAGACCCCCTCGAGCAATGAAAAGATTCGCGACGGGAGGTTTTCGGCCTCCGGGGGCCCTCACCGGGCCTCGGGAGCATCAAAAAACGACTCAGGATGACGGTCCTGGGGAAAGGGTCGAGACCCTTTCCAAGGGCGCCTTCGAGGGCGCGAAGTTGTTCGCGCTTCGCGGTTCGGCTCCGACTCCTCCTCATCCTCCCCTTCTCCCCTGGGGAGGCGGCGCGAGAGCGCGAAGCTGGGAGCCCTTGCAGACCCCCGACGCGATGATTTTTTCGTTACGCCAGCCCCCAGAGGTCCCGACCCTTTCCCCATGGCTGGCTCTGCATCCTGAATCTCAGAGCGTGAATTACCTCCTCCGCTTTCGCTTGCAGACAAAACCAAGTCATACCACGCGCCTCCTCGTCAAGCGGCCTGACCAGTACAGGCTTCAATTTGGCATCGTTTGGTATCTCTTGGAAGCGAGGGTGGTCAAAAGCGAGGTAGGTTTGTTTTCCCCCTAGAATCGTTTGTTGACGCTCCCTCGAGGCCCGGTGGGGAAAACTCAGGAGCACCTCCCGTCATGAGTTTCTCCTTGCTCTCGAGGGGGTCTGGGACCTCCGAAACCTCGAGGGCCCGGGGCGGCTCTCCGGCGGTGGCGGCGAGGGCATCCGGAGATCGGCGGCGAGCGAGGGTCGGGCCGAACGAAACCCTGACCTTCCAGAGAGCTATTTTTTAGCACTGGAGGCCTAAAAACCTAAAAAACTCAACGAGACAGCCTAAAACCAAGACGCAGAATAGCTCTGGGATAGGTTTAGAGGTCGGGTGCTATTTTTTAGCCCTCCTGGAAGGTCAGGGAAGGGGGGGGTACGAAATCTGCTGCCCGCAGCTGGGTTCGGTCCCGCCGTCGGGCCCATGCCTCGATACATGGGCGCCTCCTGGCGCCGGGAGAGGGCGGGGAAAATCAGCTAATCACGTGAGCTGATTCTCAAACCCCGCCTTTGCTATCCCCCCCTTTCGCCCGGCCCGACTTTCGAGGTGCGAGGTCTTCGGGGCAGCGAGGTTTCGGAGGTCGTCGGACGTTGTCGTCGGCTCTCGGGCTTTCGAGGTTTCGGAGGCTTCGGGCTTCGAGGTTCCGGGGGTGCGAGAATCTCGGGCTTTCGAGGTTTCGGAGGTTGTTGGCCCCGGGCTGCGGAAAGGGACCCTGTAGGGCACGCAGAGGAGCCCTTTGGGGCCCAGAAGGGGCCCTCTTCAGGGCCCAAAGAGGGCACTTTTCTCCTCTCCCCATCTGTCGCCCCAGGGTTGCGAGGGGAGAAAACGTTTCGGGCTTTCGAGGTTTCGGAGGTTGTCGGACGTTTTCGTTGGCTCTCGGCGGTTGTCCAGCCTCGGGATGCCTGCCAGCAGCTGCGCCTCGCCGAGGGCGTTCCGCGGGTGCCCGGGGCGTCCCGAACGGCCGCCGGAGGCCCGAGTTATATGGCCCACGGGCCAACTTCGGCGTCGCGCCGTGGGGGGAAAGTGAGAGGGAGGAGGCCCTCGCAGAAGGCGCCGGGGCTTCTCAGACGCCCTCCCGCCTTCTGAGAAGCTTTCTGCGTGGTCGGGGGAGGCTCAGAAGGCTTCTCAGAAGGCCGGGCACCTCCCGAGGCTGCTGAGTGGACCCGCACCACCCCGCCCCGTCTCACTTCTCCCCTGCGCTCGCCGCCGACAGACCTGCAACGGATGGGCAAGATTCCCATGCGGAGGTCTTTCTGCGCTGTCAGCCTCTGGTGCCCTCACTGGGCCCCGGGGCCCCGAGGAGACGGCTGAAGACCTGTCGTTGGGAAAGGTTTGGGTCGCCTGCGAGGGGGTCCAATGCTTCCCCGAGCCGGGGGTATCGAGCGAGAGGGGGGGGGGGGGGCACACCACCGGAGGAGCTCGGGCCGGACGAAAGGGGGGGATTGGGAAAGGGGGGGTTACGGGATCTGCTGCATGCAGCTGGTTTCGGCCTCACCGAGGGGCCCATTCCTCGATACATAGCCGCCTCTGGCGCCGGGAGGCGCTGGGAAAATCAGCCACGTGAGCTGATTCTCAGACCCCCCCTTTCCCTGACCTTCCAGGAGGGCTAAAAAATAGCACCCGACCTCTAAACCTATCCCAGAGCTATTCTACGTCTTGGTTTTAGGCTGTTTCGTTGAGTTTTTTAGGTTTTTAGGTCTCCAGTGCTAAAAAATAGCTCTCTGGAAGGTCAGGGTTGCTATCCCCCCCTTTCGCCCGGCCCGACGGTGGTGGTGGCGTCGCCTTTCCTGCTTCCCATAGGTGGTGCGGCGCGCGCTGGCCCCGACGGAGCTCACGTTCGGGGGCATCTGGATAGGCCCCGGGCCAGACAACGGCGGGGAGGACTCGGGGCCGTGCAAGAGAGAGGTGGTGGCTCCGGGGGAGGGAGGAGGAGGAGAGAGGACGAGGAGGAGGAGAGAGGAGGAGGAGGAGGAAGAGGAGGAGGAGGAGGAGGAGGAGGAGGAGGAGGAGGAGGAGGAGGAGGAGGAGGAGAGAGGAGGAGGAGGAGGAGGAGGAGGAGGAGGAGGAGGAGGAGGAGGAGGAGGAGGAGGAGGAGGAGGAGGAGGAGGAGGAGGCGGGGGAGAGATCGCGGCGGGGGCCTCGAGATCTCCCCGGATGTCGTGGCCTCACCTTGTGTCAACACGCCCCTTGGCCCCCGCCCGGGGCCGCGCACGTGCCTCGGGCCATGATTCTCCTCCTTCCTCCTCCTCCTCCTCCTCCTCCTCCTCCTCCTCCTCCTCCTCCCCAGTGCGGAGCGCTTCAAGAGCCCGCCCCGCACCTCGGCCGAATATGCCTACGAGAGTGTCCTGCTTACCCAAGTTTTGCCGATACCCGCGCTGCTCGAGCTCAAAGTCTAGATCGGCGTTGGACCTGACACTGAGTTCGACCAAACTCTCAAGCGAGTAAAAATGTGACCCTACGAGCTTTTTTGTTAAGTCATCAGCATACTTGGTGAGTGACAGATCTTGCCACTCCTGCGACAACGGGCATCGCACACGTAGGAAATCATGCTGGGGATCCCACTGGGTCTGCCTGTGCTGCCAGGCCTCGACCGCAGGGGAGAAACAATGAACAAAAGACCGAACTGCAAAGGAATCGCCCACCAGGCCGCCACAGCCAGTGACTTCCCGATCCCACCCCCCCCAGCGTCACACACGCAAGCCTGTACCTCTGCTTCCCAAGAGTGACGGCCGAGGGGAGGAACATTTTGCTGACAGCATCCTGCATTCCTCCGCCACGCATTCGACCCAAAAGCATTGGCCAGGTCGTGGCAGTTGGTCAGATGCTGCCTCCCAGCATTCTTGCACAGAAACCCTGACCTTCCAGGAGGGCTAAAAAATTAGCGCCCGACCTCTAAACCTATCCCAGAGCTATTCTACGTCTTGGTTATAGGCTGTTTCGTTGAGTGTTTCAGGTTTTTAGGTCTCCAGTGCTGAAAAATAGCTCTCTGGAAGGTCAGGGAATCCACTGACGTTATGAACTAAAAGCGCTCCCTCGCGGCGCCTGCGCGCCACGAAGCCATGATCCTGATCGTTCACCGCCCCCCCACCCCGCTGAGCCATCACCCCGCTCATCCATATGGGGAGGAGGAGGAGGAGGAGGAGGAGGAGGAGGAGGAGGAGGAGGAGGGGATTTTTTTTGGGGGGGGGGGCCACAGTAGGCCGAACCAGTAAAGCCGCGCCAAAACTGGCGCAGGGAAAGGCCCGAGAGGCACAGAGTAGCCACCGCACACGACAGCGTCCGAGGGGATACTGCCTTGCACTGGGGCCTCTCTCCGCCTCAATCCGAGTCGTCGGAACCAGGGCCATTTAAATCGGGATTTAAAAGAGGGGCAACATCCTCCTCCTCCCGAAGACCCGACACAATCCTCCGCAGGAGGGAGGAGTGGGACGACGACGACGCGGCGGGAGGAGGAGGAGGAGGAGGAGGAGGAGGGGAAGGAGGAGGGGGAGGAATATGGGGGAGGAGGAGGAGGAGGAGGAGGAGGAGGAGGAGGAGGAGGAGGAGGAGGAGGAGGAGCATACGGGGTGGAGCAGATGTATCCGCCTGGTCGTGCCCCCCTTGCGTGGGATCGGTGCACCACTGCTGCGGTGCCAGCGAATGGGAAGGTGAGAGGAGCGTCGGATGAGCAAACAGCTGTCGAACAAGGCTTCATTGAAAAGAGGCCTCGATGCGCGCTGTGGAAGTGCCGAGCCCTGCGCCTCGCCTAGAGACGCCTCGGTTCGGGTGGCACATCAACCGCCGCAGCTCGAGTGGGACAGCCCACTCAGGAACAGCTCGTCGCTTGCTAGCCTTCCTGAGTCCTCTGCGAAAAAAGAGTAGTCCGCTGCCGCTGCGACCCCGTGCGCAGAATCCAGCGGCGGCAGCGGCGGTCGAAAGGAGAGGCACTCATCGCGCCACTCCTCCCAGTCATCAATCTCAGCGGCAGCCATGCCGCCCTCGGGGCCTGCCTTCGCGAACTGCTCAATCAGCTGCTCGGAAGAGTCTACCACCCCGCGCACCGCGGGATAGTCCCGCTTTTTGGGTCCAAAGCGCGAGCCCGCCGCTCTTCTCTCGCCACAGCTCACACGCCTCGTCCACAAGCTCAGCACGTCGGCGTCGGCCCTCAGCGGCAAGGTAGGGGCGATTCGCCTTGGTCGCCTCCTTGAGGGCCTCCGCCACCTCAGCCTCACGCTCCGCCGTCGGGGCTTCGGCCAGGCACAGGCGCAGATCCCGACGTAGCGCGAGTAGCCGAAGTCGTTCCTCAGCCATTCGTGAGCACGCACGTCCAGCTCCATCACTGAAATGTGCCTTACCCACCTCTCGAAGAAGATTGTTGAAGTAATCGTCCCAGGTCGTGGTCAGTCTTGGGGCCAGCCTTAATTCGAATCCGATTCGATTCAGTTCCGAATGCCGAGCGCGAGTGGAGGCTATGCGCGTACGATGGCACTCCTTAGGTAGCTTCTGGTCTCTAGCTGGTGTGCCCTATCGTGTGCGAAGGTGTATGCTCCTCCGCAAAATCTATAACACGGCCCTGTCTGGGCTCGACGCTGTCTTGCCCGCACCAGCCGAGTATGCGAGGCTCACTGCCGCAGTTGCACACTATGCCCGAAAAGCGATGAGAGGCAAAGCCGGCGTCTTTTCCGAATCGTCCCACCCTGCTTCACTTAGTAATGAAGCAGTATTAAAGTATTGGCGCATCGTGCCGATCGAGCTTGAGGCTCGGATTCGTCGCACTAGGCACCTCCAAGAGCTCCTGAGGCACCCCAATCCCCACAAGCAAGTTCTAGCGGCCTTTTTTGGCTGTCTCCCCTTCGCTCCCACCTTCTATCCCTCATGTAGACTTGACGTGCGAGCGAACCCCTGGGCCAAACGTGCTTGGGAGGATCTCGAGGCGATGTCTGTGATTGATGAGGGGGCCGCGCTTTTGGCTTCGATTTGGGGCCAATGCCAGCTCCTCCTAACTGATCCAGAGATAACCGAGGATTTCCTGAAGATCGATGTGTACGGAGTCAATTTCTGTCGGAACGAGTCCCCTTTCCTGAATGGGATGCTCTTGCTGCCGCTCATGATCCTCCCCGTGTCTTTGCTCGGGGCGGTGTATATCGACGTTGCTTCTCTAGTGCCGACGGGACCGCGCGCGGGGCCTTCATACCAGATAAGCGGGGCGCCCACACGCATATCATCGCTCGACATGGGCACCGTGAATTGGGGCATGTGCTTTCTGTTGCTAACGAGTGTTGTTGGTGTCGCGCTGTGTTCTGGAGCCGTGTGACGTGTCAGAGGCATCTTGAGCTTTTGCTCGCGAGGGGATTCTGCAGGGTTCCTGCTGTTCGTCATCTTTGCTCTGTCGCGCCTCCTGCCCTGCTCGACTGTCCTCTATGTGATTTCGTCGGCGGCCGTTCTGCTCAACTGCAGTTGCATCTGCGCGTGCATATCCCTGGGCCCCTTGATTCGGCCCAGACCAGGGCACGGTCATGGAAGCCTCTCCAGACTGGGCGATCAGCGCCTCGGCGGCCGTGGGCGGCGGCCAAGAGGACAAGGTGCGGAAGCTGGCCGAGCAGGCAAAAGCACAGGGTGGCGATTTGCTAAAGAGCCTCGTCATTGCGCTCACAAAGCTGAGCCAGTCCAACGCGGCAGAACTATGAGACGTATGTGGAGTGGTGTTCGTCACCTACCTGGTCGCGGCCGAGCAGGTCGCGGCGGCGGCGGCGCAGCAGGCGGGGGCGCTCTACCATCAGGAGATCCAGAAGAGGAAGGAGACGGGCACCGAGGCGGAGACGCCGGGGCCGCCGTTCGCGCATGTATGGACGGCTCTCATCAAAGCCGTAGGCACGGATCCGCAGGCGGACCCCAACGCGAAGCAGATCATGGAGAAGTACTGGGGCGAGGTGGTGCTGAAGGTGCAGGTGATCGAGCTGGCCGACCAAGCACGACACTGTCCTGTACGCACGACACGCAAGCAAGAGGCGAAGGGGGAGAAGCTACGATTGACCTTCGGCGTGAACCATCGGCACGGCGAACTGGAGGCGGCCCTGTTTGCGTACTTCAACAAAGTGGGGCAGAGGAAGCATGGGCCAGCACCACGGGGAGCCCTGGAGAGAGACGCGTCGAAGATGCTGGAGCAGCCCACGGCGTGAGCACTGCCAGTCGCGTGGGGGCTGGCGCGAGCCGGTCGAGCACCGAGGACGCAGCCAGTCGAGTGGGGGCTGGATGGAGAGCTCCAACATCAGTGAGCGCGGGAGGCGAAGGCCCCCGCTTTCCTCTTGCCCCTGCGGGAGCCAGCACGCCCAGAGAGAGGTGCATTCTTGTGCCTGCGGTCTTTAGGACCTCGGCTCGCTTCAGCGCCCTAGTCGAGCGCGGAGCGCTCTTCCCCCCTCCTTCCTCGTCCCCGAACTCCCCCCCCCCCCCCGCTCCCCAAGACTTCTCACTCTCAGGGGGTGGCTTCCTAAGGGGCCCAAGGTCCGAAAGCAGCATATCCAAAAACGTCCTAGGTCGAATGCCAGTGGAGTTTAACTGCGAGAGAATGACGGCGCCATCGCCCCCCTCACTGGTATTCCCCAGTTTCAGGGCGGGTTGAGGCCCGAGCGAGTTCCGCCTGCAACGCCGCCCGCTGTGGGAAGCTGCATCATTGATGCCACTCAGGTGCTAGTTCCCTCCTACCTAGGCTCTGCCTAGAAGCGTTCTTACTTTAGAGCTTAAAGGGGCCGGGCAGTGTAAAACGCCCTGGGCGGTTCCCCCGGCATCCGCCCCGCGGTTCCCCCAGTTACGCCCTTTTAGCTTAGCGTTGCCTATCTCATCTTAGCTTAGCCTATTTCATCTTAGCTTAGCTTCATCTTAGCCCAGGTCTATATTAGCTTAGCTTACCTTCATATTAGCTTCGCCGAGCTTTAGCACAGCAGAGCGTAGCATGGCATAGCGCAGCACAGCATATCATGGTATAGCCCAGCATAGCATAGCATAGCGCAGCATAGCATAGCATAGCAGAATATATCGAGGCACAGCACAGCATAACGCAGCGCAACATAGCATATCATATCATAGCATAGCGGAGCATAGCATAGCATAGTGCAGCTTAGCACCGCACAGCAGAGCATAGCTTAGCATAGCACAGCGCAGCATGACATATCATAGCGTAGCATAGCACAGCATAGCATAGCATGGCATAGCGCAGCATAGCCTAGCATCGCATCGCTTCGCATCGCATAGCATAGCATAGCATGGCTCAGCATAGCATGGCATTGCATAGCATAGCATAGCATAGCAACCAATGCTGCTTTCCTAGGGGTTCCAACTTCTAGGTAGGGTCGCACTGGGGTAACTTGGTTTCTTCAGCTTTATGTGTGTAGGCACATGTGATAGCACCCCAGAGGTGCCTTGCCTTGCCTCCTCCTCCTCCTCCTCCTCCTCCTCCTCCTCCTCCTCCTCTTCTTCCCCCCCCCTCGTTGGACGCCCCCGACGGACCTGGGCCAGCGCAGCGCGGACCCTGTCCCCGGGCCCCGGGGCCAGCTTTTCATCCTGAGTCGCTGCTCGACGGTGCCGGGGCCTGGTGAGGGCCCAAGAGGCCCCAGAAACGGCGCGAAAAACGCCCCGTCCTGATTTTGTTACGACGCGAGCATTAGGTCGGGCCTGTCCTTCTACAGGATGAGAATCCACAAGTAGTCGAAGAATACTCTGGAGACCATTGTTTGAGCATGTTTTGAATACGTTTAGTCATTTTGTGGGGTCTTTTTAAAAGAGGTTTCGCCCAAAACCCGTCTGCAGAAGGACGCGCCCGACGCAAGTCTTGTCACGACGCGAGCATCCCTGAGATCCGACGTCTCGAACCAGCGTCGGCATCGCGAGGAGTCACGACGGGAGCCCGAGGCCCCCTCTCCCTGCGCCACCTCTCGAGCCGCCTCGTTCCGTGCGGGCGCCCTGGGCGCCCGCACCCGCGGCGACGGCGCCCCGGCGCTCGAAGCAGAGGAGAGACGCCAGGACCTCGGGGCTCCTCGGAGGCCCCCGACCCAGACCCCCTCCCCCTCCTCCTCCTCCCTCCTCCTCCTCTCCTCCTCCTCCTCCCCTCCTCCTCCGATCAGCCACGCGCAGAGGGGGGGGGCGGGGGGGTGGAGGGTTTCTGAGAAGCACCCCTGCTTCTCAGAAGGCGCCGGCCTCACATCTGCAGGTGTGAGGCCGGCGCCTTCGAAGGAGCAGCCTCCTTCGAAGAAGCCCTCCCCCCTCCCACCACCCCCTTGGTGCGCGCCGCCAAAGAGATCCCGACCCATTCCCCGAGGCCAGTTTCTCATCCCGAGTCGTTTCGTAACGGTCCCGAGGCCCGCGTTAAGGGCCCCCAGAGGCCGAGCATAGCGAAAAGCCTCCCGCCAGGGTTTCTGCATGCCCCGAGGGGGGTGTGGGTCGAAGGACTTGGGCCAGCGCAACGCGGACCTCGCGGTGGCCGCGGCCGTCGCCGCGGGCGTCGTGGACTTCGACACGGCGCCCTGGTACGGCGCGGGCTGCGCCGAAGAGCGCCTGGGCCGGGCGGTGGCGCGGTTGCCAGCGGGCAGCGGCGCCCGGGTGGTCACCAAGGTCGGCCGCCTGGTGGCGATGCCCGACGGCACTTCTCGGCGACTGCAACGGGCGCGGTGAACCGCGAAGGGTCTTTGATGTTGAGGACCCCCCCCCCGTTTCCGGCGGGGAACAGAAACTCGTCCCTCCTCCCCCTTCCCTTCCTCCTTCCCCTCTCTCCTTCATCCTCCTCCTCCTGAGAAACCTACCTGTCTCCGTCGTCCACAGCAGAAGCATGTGGGGCCACCGCAGAAGCAGGTGGCCACCGCGGGGGAATATGATTATCCATTATTGTTGGGGTCTCCGTCAGGAAGCCCGCGGAGAAATGAATCAGTTTCCAAGTATTGCCCAGAGGTTCATTGAGACCATGAAGATTTACCTTGAGATCTTGGCGTTGCAATTTCTTCACAACTGAAGTTGCTGCTCCATTTCGGGCCCTGGGACCCTCACAGATCGATCATGGTCGAGAAATGGCGCAGAACGACAGGGTGGGGGGCTCCAGTCGTGATGTTTAGCAGTGTTCCAATTTTTTCGAGACGTCGGATCTCAGGGTCGGGTCATAAAAAGTCATGACGGACGTTTTTTCTGTATGGTCGGCCTCCGCGGGCCTTTACCGGGCTTCGGGGCCGTGACAAAACGACTCGGGGTGAGAAACTGGTCTTGGGGAGTGGGTCGAGAATTCTGGGGGTCGACGTAATGAAAAAATCATGGCATCGGGAATTGGGGCATTCAGGGGCGACCTAACCGACCCCTAGCAAACCATCCCCTTCTGTGACGTCCCCCTTGCCGCGCCCCAAGGCGTATGTGAGCGGCCGGAGGGAAGCTTTAGGGGCGAGGGCGGCGTCCTAGAAGGGGATGGTGTGCTAGGCACCCCAGGCGCGGGCTGCTGCACACCACACCCTTTACAAACCTCAGGAGGGAAAGAAACACAAACGCACAGACGCAACAATCAATCGTCGACTACCAGGAAAAGATGGGAAAATATGGGAAGTGGGGGGGGAAGACGAAATCTCAGAGAACATGGGAAAAGCTGGGGAATCCCGCTCTCTGTGCCTGCTTCCTTGTGTGTCCCTGGGCCCCCTCGAGACCGCACCCTTCGCAGTCGCCGAACCTCGCCGTGCACGGTGAGCTTCGAGGCGCCCGGTGCGCCGAGCTGGAAGGACTCGTGGGGCGGAAAAAAAAAACAACAACAAAAAAACGTCTCCGCCGCCGCGGCTGCGCGGGCCGGGCGCCCCCTGGGCCGCGCACCGCTCGAGCAGCGGCGAAGCGTCCTGGCGCTCCCTCCCTCCCTCCCTCTCCTCCTCCGCCGCCTCCTCCCATAGGTCTACCAAACGATGCTCTAAGAGCCTGTCGTGGTTTCCACGACATGCTCTTAGAACATGTCTGGCTGGGACTGTCCCGTCTTATCACCTTCGGGCTTATGCTCTAAGGACACTGTTTTTTGTTCTCAGAGCATTCTGGGGGTTCTACGACCAGTTTTCGCGGTAGGCCCATATCGGGGGTGGACAGACCTACCCTGACACGTCGATTAAGGAATTTGTCGTTTTCGGTTCGCGAGAGGGCGTCGCGGCCGTAATCTTTGCGGGTCCAGGTCCGTCGGCTTCGGTCCCAGGCCGTTTTCATTCAGGGGAGGTTTACCACAGGGAGGTCTGTTCACCGCCGACTACAGGAACGCTGGGACGGCCGGCCCCCTGCCCGAGCCGCGGATGCGGTGCTGTTGTGTCGCGGCGGCGCAGAGCCTAATCCGTGTGGCCGCGTCTCCGCGGGGTCGCGCCCCGGAGTCCAGGCCGCGGGACGCGCGCGTGCGTTCCGCCTTCGGGGCGCGTTTGCGCACGTTTTGTCAAGCAGTGGCGGAGCGTCCTGGCTCGCCTACAGAGCAATGTTCTAAGAACCTCTTGTGGTGCCCACGAAGTGTTCTCAGAACGTTTTTGGCGGAGTCCGTCTTGTTTTATCACATCGGGTTCATGTTCTAAGAACATTGTTTTTGTTCTTGGAACACTTCTGGGCTCTGAGAACATTTCGTGGTAGGACTATAGGAATGCTGGGATGGTCGGTCCCTGCTCAAGTTTGAGGGTTCCGTCTTCAGGGCGCGTTTGCGTACGCTGGCGTCTGGCGATCGATGAGACAGCGCCGACTCCGGTCGCGTCGATCAGCGTCGGCGATCGCAGCGTCGCTTCGCAAGAGCCAGCAGGATGGCACAGGAGGCTCCCATGAGTTGCCACAGGAGGATCGAGGATGGAGGATGTTGGAGCCGGCTGGGGGGCCATGGTGGCCCAGCATTGGTCTTGGCATCGCTCGGACGTGTGCATTTTTCCTTCGGCGAGGACCATCGAGGAGCATCCTTAATCATTTGGCGAAGAAACCACGCACGAAACCGAAAAAAAAAACACAGGGAATGGACGTCCGAGCGATGGCCAGTGGTTCGTGCCTGCAGATTTGGGGAGGGGGGCAAGGGGCCCCCCCGTCGCCGCGGCTTGGCGCAGCTCGAGATCAGGAGGGGAAAAAACACACAGACACAATTCATAGTCGATTCCCCAGAAAACATGGGGAAACATGGGAAGTGGAGGGGAAGACAGAAACCTAGAAAATATAGGAAAATATTGGGAATCCTGCTATTTTTGTGTATTTATTTGTGTGTCCCAGGGCCCCTTCACGAGAGACGATTTCGACCCCAGGAGGGGTGCAGGGACCGACCTTGATCGGATGTGCTTCTGCCCCCCTTTTCTCTTCACCGACTTTCTCTCTGGGCCGATGCAGCGCAGACCCCCCCCCACCGCTTCCAAGGAGCACGTGTGTGTTGTGGGCGTCTCGTTTCGTTCGCTGGGGCGTCCCAGTCGGCACGGCTGCTGGGGCGTCCTGGTCGGGCACGGTGGGGCGCACTTCGAGATTCAGTGCGGACGCGCCTCAGCGCGGGTCCGGGGGCTGATCTCTCGAAGGGAGAACAAGGGGCGACGCGTTGCGCGGCGCTGATCATGATGGGACTGTTTTCCACCACCACCACCATAAGTTGGAGGGGGGAAGGAGGAGGACGAGGAGGAGGAAGAGGAGGATGAGGAGGAGGAGGACTCCCTCCTCCTCCAACTTATGGTGGTGGTGGTGGAAAACAGGCCCATCAGATCAGGGTGCGCAGCCCCCCTCCTATGCCTCTCTCCAGCGAGCTTCCTCGCACCCCCCCACGGGAGGTGGAGTGCGGCGGGTTCGCGTCGTGCCGACCGGCGGCGAACCCGCCGCCGGTGTTCGACGTGGAACGCCGCCGGCGACCCAGAATCGGGCCATGTGCGTAGGGGAACAAAAAGTGGCATACACCCTGGGCGATGCTTAAGAAAACCTATTTTTTCGGCCAGAGTCTCGACTATTCTTAACGTTTCGATATAGATCCTAAGATTTGAATAGACATTATGGGTTTTTATTCAAATTCTGAGACTATGAATTTCTTAACCCATGATTTCTTAAGCATTTCGCAGGGTGTAAACATAAAAACTCTGAGGTCCGCGCGGATTTCTCGGATCGGCGCCGGAGGCGCCGCCAGGGGGCCCCAGCGCCGATCCGAGAAATCCGCGCGGACCTCCGAGTTTTTATATTTATGCAAGTTGTTGTTCCCCTAGTTCGGGGGTCAATGCAAACGGGGGTTAGCCAGGGCACCGGATGCTGCAGGATTCTGCGAAGACCCCCTCTGGCTGACCAGGGTTGGCCGAGCCGCTCGTGGCCGCGAGGCGGTCGCGCATATTGTCTGACCCGGGTTTGCGAAGCCCTGCGTTGCAATTTGTTTGTTCTCCTGCATTGCAGCTGCTTGGTTTCCTGCCGACCCGGGTCTGGATTGACCCTGGTCAGGAGATACCCGAGGTGTTCAACGCGGAAAGCCGCCGGCGACCCAGAATCGGGCCATGTTGAACGATCAATCTTTTGATCGTTTCAGGAGGAAGATCACCGAGCGCGTTCCACTACTCGCAAAGTGCCTACTCGCAGCCGTCCGAAAAACACATGCCTGCTTCGATGTAATTTGTCGTAGATCCCCCACGGCGGATCCAGGCCATTTGCGAGTAGTCACTTTGCGAGTAGTGGAACGCGCTTTTCTAGAGGAGGAGGAGGAGGAGGAGGAGGAGGAGGAGGAGAAGAAGATCGGCCTTTCCCGAAGCATTTGATCGTTTCGGGAAAGGCCGATCCTTCAAGGCTGAACGGTCCCGGCGGGGTCCAAAGCCGCAGTCGTCGCACGGCACCAGCCTGCCGTGGGCAGGGAGGGGAGGTCGGGTGTAGCCAGGACCCCAGGTAAGAGGCCCCGGCTAGTGGTAGGGCCCCAGGGCCCCTCAATTGGCCAGGATCAATAAACCAGGTCTGCCGTAGAGCTGGCGTCTTTCGGGCGGCGGCAGTTCCGGTGAGCGGAACGGGGCGGGGGGGGGGGGCGTCCCCCAGTACACCTCACTGAAGAAGTTCCCACTCAACCCGGTTCTGCCAGCGCCCGCAAAGGGGGGACGCGTTGCGCTACGCCGATCCGGGTGCGCAACCCCCCTGCCTCTCCCACGAGCTTCCTCCTCTCAACCCCCAGGGGGGGGAGTGCCGTGCGGTATAGGTTCGCGTCGCGTCGACGGGCGGCGAACCCGCCGCCGCGGGGTCCACCGCCGACGTCGTCACGACACCAGCCTGCCGTGAGCAGGGAGAGAAGGGGAGCGAGGATCCGGCTGCCGGCTCAAGCGAGCGCCCCCACAGCAGGAGCGCGTGGTGAGGAACGATTTCACCTCGCGGGGGGCCGCCCAGTCGATGTCGGAGAGCCTGGCGCGCATGGGGCTGAGCAGCGTGCACGGCCTCCGCATCCACGACCCCAACGACAACTCCAACTACGACGGCTCCGTCGACGAGGCAGGAGGGGGGTAAACGTTTCAGGCTCTCGAAGCTCAAGGTGTTCGGGCAGTTTCTTCTCGGCGGTTCTTCAGCCTGAGGATGCCTTCCAGCAGCTGCGGCTCGCCGAGGGCGTTCTCGGGATGCTTGGATCGTCCCGAACGGCCGCCAGAGGCCCGAGTGATGGCCCGAAAACCACCAGAGAGGGGGGGGTGGGCGACGGAAACAAACGGGGTCGATTGCGCCGACATGCGCGCACAAGCTTCCCGCGTAAGACTGGCGCAAGCGCCATCTTCTCCACGCAGTGTGTCACGCTGGCGGGCCGCGTAAGCCGCGGTGCAAGGTCGATAGAGATCAATGCTTTATCTCTGGGCGACGACGATCGTGACCGAGGGGGGGAGAGGGCCAGTCACGTCACGATGAGCGCCAGCGCTGTCGGGGAATGCTGAGAGATGGTTGATTTACGGCGCTGGCGCGGATCGTGACGTGACCAGGGAGGAGGGGGAAGGGGGGGGCGGGGCCGGTCACCAAGGTTATCGCGAATGATGAATAAGCGAGTTCCCACAGTCGAATTTGATTCCGGTAGGTTCGTGTCGTGTCGATTGGCGGCGAACCCGCGAACGCCGCGGGCGAGCCAGAATCGATCGATGTGGAACGATTTGGACGTTTCGGAAACGGCTGATCGTTCAAGGCTGAACGATCCCCGAGGTGTCAGAATCCAACGCCGAAGCCAGCACTACACGAACCTGACGTAGTAGGTCGACCATGCCAAATCAAGGGTACCCGTGTGTCCTGTGTTCAGCGACCCATGCTTTCTGCATTCCTGCGGCAACGCGGCCCTCGCGGAAGAATCTTGAGTCCTCTCGCGCGTCCTCTTTTTAGACTCCAATATTGGAAACGACAGGGCCGCGTTTTGTCCGTTTTCGTTTTGCCCTGTTTGTTCACGGTTCTGGCGCCGTTTGTGCTCCAGTTCCGTCGCTTTTTTTTTTTCTTTTGGGTCCGGTTCAGGTCTAAATCCCGGAGATGTTCTTTCTTGGTTCAGCGAACCGATGTTTGTTATTGCTCCCATTCTAAATATTCATGTTTTTTTTTGAAAACGGGTGCACACGGCCTCGCCGCTTCCAAAAGCCAGCAAGATCTCCACGGTTCGGACAGGGCTAGGACGACGATAATCCGTTCCAGAACGCTCTCAGACCGTTCCAGAACGCTCTAAGAAGACCGTGATGCCAGATATGTCCTCCAGAGCCGCCGGATCTCAGAGATTCTCGATTTATCCTCACCCGATGTCGTCTTCGTCTTGGCTTCGTCTTTACGGTGCGTCATGGTTCGCCAAGGGGGAAACGGGTCTTAACGGAAACGGGTCTTGAGGTTCTTCTCCGTTTTCGGGCTCCCGCGGCTTTCCACGGGCCATGTCAGAAAACGACTCGGGATGAAGAGCTCGTCCTGGGGGAAGGCCCCAGGGTCCAGGACCCGTTTCCCTCAGGACCCGTTTCTCCAATGCTAAATTGTGAATCGTGCGTGAGGCCCGTTTGTTTTCCTCGCTCAGGTGGCCATCGCGCTGGCCCCCGGCGGGATGCTGGAGGGCCTGCGACAATTGCGCGCGGAGGGCCGTATCCAGCACGTGGGGCTCGGCATGAATTGCAACCGTCTGAGCCACCAGGGGAAGCCCGACGAGGTTCGAGGAGCAAAAAGACTCAGACATGACCGTGTCGTTCCCTGAGATCGTGGCGGTTCATTGTTTCAAGCCTGGCGCTTCCGCCCAGAATCGGGCCCCGGGACCCTCACAGATCGATCTGGCTCGAGACGTGGCGCAGAGAGATGGGGTCTAGGGCTCCAGCCGCGGTTATTCGCGATGTTTCAATTTGCTCGAGAAGCCGGATCTCAGGGTTGAAAAGGGAGAGAACGGAGGTGCTTTTGTGCCGTGTTCTGCTTTGGGGTGCCCTTGCCGGGCCCCCGGGATGGCAGCAAACGGCTCGGGATAAAAGCCGGTCCCGGGGAAAGGGTCGGGCTTTCCAGGGATCGAGCGGGGGACCTGCTGACGCTCCAGCTCGTGCCCGAGGGCACGGTGGCGGATCATTGCGCCGACCGTCGGAGGCGTACACCGCCTGGCGTCGATGTCGCTCTGGTGTGGGGCCTTCTGCAAGCCCCCATTCCAGCAGAGGCGCCATGATCCCACACATTCGGCTGCTCCAATGTTGCGAGGCGTGGGCCCCGAGAGTTCCAGACCATTCTCCCAGGACCGGTTTTTCGTCCTGAATCTTTTGTTGACGCTCCCGAGGCCTGGCGAGGGCCCCCTGCCGCTCCAACTTTTGGAGCCTCTCGTCTCTGGGACATCGCCGACGAGGCCCCGTGCTCTGTCCCAGGCCCGGTGCACTGAGGGGTCAGGACGTCGCATGCTCGGGAACGCCACAGCGTCGTGAGCTTCTCACGACCGCTGTTTTTGCAGGAGGAAAAACAGCACACAGACACAACGAATCGTCGCTCCCCAGGAAAATATGGGAAAACATGGGACGTGGGGGGGAAAACAAAAGCCCAGAAGATATGGGAAAATGTAAGGAATCCTGCGATTTGCGTGCATGTATTCCCCAATCAGAGCTTGCCTCTGTAGGGTAGCGGATTAAAGGGTTAGGTGAGGTTGGTCGCCGATTTCGGTGCCCGGGCCCGGGTGCCCGGCGGTGCCCGGGTGCCCGGGTGGCCGGTGAGGTGCGTGGCCGACTTCGGTGGCCGGGCCCGGGTGCCCGGGAGTGCCCAATAGCCCAGTAGCCCTATAGCCTTATAGCCCTATAGCCCTATAGCCCGATAGCCCTATAGCCCTGTAGCCCTATAGCCTTATATCCCTATAGCCCTAATAGCCTTATAGCCCTATAGCCCGATAGCCCCATAGCACATATAGCTCTATAGCCCCATAGCCCTATAGCCCTATAGGTCACTGTCCTATAGCCCTATAGCCCGATAGCCCTATAGCCCTATAGCCCGATAGCCCATATATAGCACGATAGCCCTATAGCCCTATAGCCCTAAAAAAATCTGATTGGGTTTTTTTCTCCGGTATCATTTATGTGTCCCGGGGCCCCTTCAGGGACCCCGCACCAAAAGGGTTAAGTCGGGCCTGTTCCCCTACAAGGGGATCTTCGCCGAAAAATAGATTCAACATATATTCAAAAAAATCGAACATATCTACATACATCTATATATATATATATATACATACATTCATACATACATACATATGTATATATATATATATATACAAATTAAAAATCAAAAAATTATCCTGGCGAAAGACCCAACCATAAGCAATTGTTGGTAACGCGTTGTGGGTGCCGCTTTCGGTGGGGCTCCATATGGGGCCACGAAGCGCTGCCTTGGATGGGGGAACCGCATGCGGACTGCGCCACCGGGGCGGGCCTTCGGTGGAGCTCCCTATGGGGCTACGAAACGCTGCCCTGGGTGGGGGAACCGCATGCGAACTGCGCCACTGGGGCCTTCGGTGGAGCTCCCTATGGTGCCACGAAACGCTGCCCTGGGTGGGGGAAGCGCATGCGAACTGCGCCACGGGGGCTTTCGGTGGAGCTCCCCATGGGGCCACGAAGCGCTGCCCTGGGTGGGGGAACCGCATGCGAGAGCAGCCACTGGGGCCTCGGTGGAGCTCCCTATGGGGCCACGAAACGCTGCCCTGGGTGGGGGAACCGCATGCGAACACCCCCACTGGGGCCTTCGGTGGAGCTCCCTATGGGGCTACGAAACGCTGCCCTGGGTGGGGGAACCGCATGCGAACACCCCCACTGGGGCCTTCGGTGGAGCTCCCTATGGGGCCACGAAACGCTGCCCTGGGTGGGGGAACCGCATGCGAACACCCCCACTGGGGCCTTCGGTGGAGCTCCCTATGGGGCCACGAAACGCTGCCCTGGGTGGGGGAACCGCATGCGAACACCCCCACTGGGGCCTTCGGTGGAGCTCCCTATGGGGCTACGAAACGCTGCCCTGGGTGGGGGAACCGCATGCGAACACCCCCACTGGGCGCCTTCGGTGGAGCTCCCTATGGGGGGCGCTGCCCGGGGAACCGCATGCGAACACCCCCACTGGGGCCTTCGGTGGAGCTCCCTATGGGGCTACGAAACGCTGCCCTGGGTGGGGGAACCGCATGCGAACACCCCCACTGGGGCCTTCGGTGGAGCTCCCTATGGGGCCACGAAACGCTGCCCTGGGTGGGGGAACCGCATGCGAACACCCCCACTGGGGCCTTCGGTGGAGCTCCCTATGGGGCCACGAAACGCTGCCCTGGGTGGGGGAACCGCATGCGAACACCCCCACTGGGGCCTTCGGTGGAGCTCCCTATGGGGCACGAAACGCTGCCCTGGGTGGGGGAACCGCATGCGAACACCCCCACTGGGGCCTTCGGTGGAGCTCCCTATGGGGCCACGAAACGCTGCCCTGGGTGGGGGAACCGCATGCGAACACCCCCACTGGGGCCTTCGGTGGAGCTCCCTATGGGGCTACGAAACGCTGCCCTGGGTGGGGGAACCGCATGCGAACACCCCCACTGGGGCCTTCGGTGGAGCTCCCTATGGGGCCACGAAACGCTGCCCTGGGTGGGGGAACCGCATGCGAACACCCCCACTGGGGCCTTCGGTGGAGCTCCCTATGGGGCTACGAAACGCTGCCCTGGGTGGGGGAACCGCATGCGAACACCCCCACTGGGGCCTTCGGTGGAGCTCCCTATGGGGCCACGAAACGCTGCCCTGGGTGGGGGAACCGCATGCGAACACCCCCACTGGGGCCTTCGGTGGAGCTCCCTATGGGGCTACGAAACGCTGCCCTGGGTGGGGGAACCGCATGCGAACACCCCCACGAGGGGGAGGAGGAGAGGAAGGAGAGGAACGCGGGGCACCGTCTCTTCAAAACGAGGACCCAACACCACAGGATGGTTGGGAAAAACAGTCCCCATACTATTGTTTGACGATTTTGGGATTATGTATTGGGGTAGTTTCCGCATAACCTAAGATGGGGTTATTGTTATTATTTGGACGCCTCCTCCTCCTCCTCCTCCTTCCTCTTCTCCTTCTCCTTTCCTCTCCTCAGCATACCCAGACTCACTCATACGCAGACTTACTCATACTCAGACATACGCATACCCAAAGTTACTCACACACACACACACACACACACACACACACACACACACACACACACACACACACACACGCACACACACACACACACACACACAAAATTACTCTTACTCAGACCTACTCATACTCAGACCTACTCCTACTCAGACTTACTCATGGTGAGACTCACGCACGCCCTGTACGCTGCCGTTTTGTGGGGATGTCTCAAGCGGTTTGCCTGTGTTCTGTCCCAAAGTCTTTCGCTTTCGGAGCAGATTGTGAGGATGTCTCGAGCGAGGCGCTGGTTTCAGCTCCCCCTGAGGGGAGCCGCCAGGGGTTATCTCACGGTCCCGTTCGCGGCCGTTTTGTGGGGATGTCTCAAGTGGTTTGTTTGTGTTTTGTCCCAACATCCTTCGTTTTCGGAGCAGATTTGGAGGATGTCTCGAGCGAGGCGCTCATTTACACCTCCCTGAGGGGAGCCGCCAGGGGTTATCTCACGGTCCCGTTCGCGGCCGTTTTGTGAGGATGTCTCAAGCGGTTTGCTTGCTTTCTGTCCCAACATCCTTCGCTTTCGGAGCAGATTTGGAGGATGTCTCGAGCGAGGCGCTCATTGCCACCCCCCCTAAGGGGAGCCGCCAGGGGTTATCTCACGGTCCCGTTCGCGGCCGTTTTGTGAGGATCTCTCAAGTGGTTTGTTTGTTTGTTTTCTGTCCCAACGTCCTTCGTTTTCGGAGAAGAGTTTGAGGATGTCTCGAGCGAGGCGCTCATTTACACCCCCCTACGGGGAGCCGCCAGGGGTTATCTCACGGTCCCGTTCGCGGCCGTTTTGTGAGGATGCCTCAAGCGGTGTGTTTGTTTTCTGTCCCAACATCCTTCGTTTTCGGAGCAGATTTGGAGGATGTCTCGAGCGAGGCGCTCATTTTCACCACCCAGGTGGGCCAGATGTTGAAGATGCCTCGATCGGTTTGCTTGTTTTGGTGGCCAGGCTCGGGGGCGCAGATTCTTCTCAGGAGGCTCCAGGAGGCCCCAGGAGACCACATGAGGTCCCAGGAGGCATCAGGAGGCCACAGCAAAATTCAAGAGGCCACAGGATGTCCCAAGAGGCTCCAGGAGGCCCCAGGAAGCTCCAGAAGGCCTCAGGAAGCAACAGGAGGCCCCAGGAGGCCACAGGAAGCACCAGGAGGCCTCGGAAGGCAACAGGAGGCCCCGAGAGGCCCCAGGAGCAGGAGGCCTCAGAAGGCAACAGGACTGGCTCCAATCCCATGTGTTTACGTATGCTCCTATCGATTGGGCCTCACCTGGAGCACGATGCCTTGATGTTATACGTATGTCTCTAGAGGTTGTCCTTCTCCTGTGTACACAATCCCACATGGTTTACTTATGTTCCTATAGCTTGGGCCTCTCCTGTGGCACGAGTCCTTGGTGTTTTACGTGTGTTCCTATATATTGCCCTTCTCCTGTGGCTCTAATCCGCATTTTTGTTGTACGTCTGTTGCTATAGATTGGGCCTCTCCTGGGGCACGAAACCTCCCTAGGAGGTCCCAGGAGACCCCAAGAGGCTCCT